CTAATTCTCGGCCTTGCTCACTGGGTTCCATGAAAATTAGCTGAACGAATGAATGACGTTGGATCAAACTGACTTTGGGAATGAGCGAAGAGAGCAAACGAGTGAGGGGACGAGAGTGTGGACAGGAGGTAGACGAGAAAGAAATGACAAAACTACAATGAAAGTGTCGCAGGTTCGATTCCCAGTCAGGCCACATGTCTGGGTTGCAGGCCATGACCCCCAGCAACAGCACATTGATCATTGATGTTTCTCTCTCTCTCTCTCTCTCTCTAACTCCCTCCCTTCCCTCTCTATAAATTAAAAAAAAAGTCTAAAAAAAAAAACTACAACGGAAAAGTGGAGACTGACCAATATTTTGGAAGACAGGACACTCGGGCATGAACGTCCCTCAGGGAGAACCGAGGAAGGTGGGGGCGCCCTCCTTCTCTCCCCCCATCAGACATGCCTCTTCGTTTCTCTTTGTCCTTCCTCTCCCCTTCTTTCCCCCCATTTCTCTTTCCAGCTTTTCCCATTGGTTCTTTGTCTCCCTTACTTTTCCATTTACTTTTCTTTAATGTTCTTTCTATCCTCCTAACATGCCTTAAGCCAGCCTGTCCTTTGGCTGCCATTTATCAGGGTGTAAATCTTGCCAAGCACTCGGCAAGGTGTGGGGACTCAGGAAAATGGGACAGGGTCCTTGTCCTTGAGGAACTGACAGTCCAAAGGGAGAAGGACATGTCTAGCTTAGGTAAGGTCTTACGAAAACGGTGATGTTGGAGTTGCTGAGGGTGCCATGAGAACACATTGGGGGAGACCAGAGCATCAGGGGAGGCTTCCTGGTGGAGGTGGCATCTGAACTGAGAGTTGGAAGACAGACACGGGCCAGGTGATGATGGGGCAGTCAAGGAAAGGAGGCATTCCAGCCTTGGAGAAGTTTGTGCAAAAACTTGGAGGTAGGAGCCTTGGCTGGCGTAGCTCAGTGGATTGAGCTCGGGCTGTGAACCAGGCATCGCAGGTTCCATTCCCAGTCAGGGCACATGCTTAGGTTGCAGGCCATGGCCCCCAGCAACCGCACATTGATGTTTCTCTCTCTCTTTCTCCCTCCCTTCCCTCTCTAAAAATAAATAAATAAAATCCTTAAAAAAACACCTATGGTAATTTAACATTAAAAAAAATGTGGAGGTAGGAGAATTATGGAGTCGTTCAGGAAACTGCGTTCCTCGGAAGAGTGGAGACAAGAGTTCAAAGGGACGTGGGTGACCGTGGAGGCAGAGTTGCCAGCAGGGGCCAGCCCCAGAGGGTCCTACAGGGCATGCGAAGGACTTGGGACCTTATCTGTGACCTTCTGTTTCCATTTGTATTTTAGAAAATCCACTCCAGCTGCAAGGTAGATAATGACTTGAGTAGGGGTAGGGTTATCCGTGGGCAGCCCTCCAGGAGGGGTGGTGGTGTGGACCTGGTAGGTGATGAAAATGGAGTCGGGAGGGAGAGGAAGGGAAGTCCCGGGACTTGGAGTCCCATCGGTAGGCTCCGCATCAGAGGTCACCCTGGAAGCCTGATGGGTGTACTCAGCACTGGCTCACAGCTGGAGCAAAGGAGATGCTAAGACAAAGACTTCCAAGGCCAACTGAGCAGGTAGGGGGAGAATTCAAATGACCAGTTAATGTTGTCACTGGCTGTCTGGCTCTTCCCCACTAAGGAGAAGCTCAGAAATACGGGCTCAGAGGATGTGCCTGACGTGGTGGTGAGGCTGCTCCCAGGGCACGGGGCTCAAACAGGCTAGTTTCTTGGGGTCATTCCAGGTTCAGGAAGTGCCAGGGCGATACCCAGTTCTCACCGGCAGGCGGCAGCACCACAACTCACAGAAAGCAAAGTGAGAAACCCTTTCCAATGACTAAAAACCAAAAAAACCCCAACAACCCCACCCAAAGAGAGACTTGCTGGTGGTTAATTTGTGCACTCCGCAGTAACGGTGTGGCAGTTGGTTATCAGCAAGTTTTGCTGAAGTTACAACAGGTTTTCACACCGGGGTGACTTCTACTTCCCAACTTGGCCTCCGGCTCCAATTTCTTTTTATTATTTCACATCAACCACACACACGCAATCCTACTGCCTCTAGTAGGTTTTTTTTTCTCTGTGCAAAATGATCTTGGGCAGTTTTCTCTTTGAGTTTCTGAATCTGTGTCTACAGAAAAGAATTTTTTGATCAGAAAGAAAATGTAACAAATGTTGAGGATTTTTTTTTTTCCAGCCACACTTGCTTGATTTCAACACAATCAGTATTTTTACTTTTAAATGTTCTCCTTCCAAATCTGGTCCATATGCATGTGGACCAGACATGCTCAGAGTCTGTTTTATCCGTGCTGAGTTTTAAAAGGAAGTGCCCATTTTTTTTTTTCTGTTCTCTTAGGCATCTAGTCTCTTCTGCGATCTCACCCACTTCCTTAGCTTCAAGTATCACATTACACAGAGAGGCAGCCTTGTCTTTATCTCTTGGCAACCCCTATTATTTATTTATTTGTTCTTCCATCCATCCATCCACCCACCCATCCATCCATTTATTCGCTGTGCTGGGGGCTGGGAATACAATTGTGGAAAGGTGTGGTCCTGTTTGGAGCTTGTGGAGTGTGGGGGCAGTCAACAGTGCTGCGGTGAGATTGGAGGTACTGTGGAAATTTGGGGGAAAGAAACCCTAAAACCGACTTTGGGGGGTGCTAAAGAAAGGAACAGGGACCAGCGGCGCAGAGGAAACTGCATACACAAAGATATGGACACTGAAGAGATGAAGGCCCCTTCCGGAAACCGGAGTGGTTTAGTATTGGTGGAGTAGGCCTTGGCTAGAGACGACTCCCAGGGTGGGGCTGGCAGGCAGGGCCCACATCTGTAAGGGTCTGGCTAAGGACTTGAGACTTTATCTTACTGGTGATAAATATCTCTCCTGGAACACTGTTTTCCTCTCAGCCTAACCAGGGTCTCAGCTTCAACCACCCTCTCCAGTCTCCTCTCATCCCGGACTAGGTCAGGTCTCCTGCTGCGTGACCCAAAGCTGCCAGGACTAGGAATGTCATGTTCTCAGAGGTTTGTCTTCCCGGCTCTTCCCCTCACTCCCTCCTCCTCTCTGCTAAGTGGCTAAGTCCTTCACTTTCTTTTTTTTTTCTGGCCACCATTCTAGAACAAAGTATCATAGTATGGGGTCGGGGGAGGAATACATGGGTTTTAGAACAAGAAAGGCATAGTTTTAAATCTTGGGTCTACTATATTTGGGTTCCCCTGGGTAAATTACTAACTTCTGTAAGCCTCAGTTTCCGGCTGTAAAATGGGGAATTGATCTACCCTGTAGAAACACTCTGACTTTAGCACACATAGGGTGGTAGGTAAAAGGTCCTCTTATTATATTACTCTCATATCAGACATTTCCTGCTCAAAAACCCTTACGAGTTGCATATCGCTTGGGATCGAAACCAAAGCCATGCATCTTGGCCTTGTCTCTCATTCCTCCTCCCCTAAATCCTAAATGCTGGCCATTCTGAAATGTTGGCTGATTCTCTCCTCTCTGCAGTTGGAACACGAAGCCCTCCAGGATGACCTGAGCACCAGGTCACTGGCTCCCTCCTCCACAGTCCTCTACGCAGCTCGCCCTCACTGCTCTGCCTTGCGGTCTAGGCAACTCTCCTTCCGATGACAAACTGCTGACAGCAGAGGCTTTGTGAGGTTCGTCTCTTCCCCTCCATAGCTCCTCGCATGTCGTTGACACTCAACAAATACTCTGTGACAGAAAGGTCATTTTCCTTATTCCAATGGGCTTGTTTTTCTCTATAGAACCAGATGTTTTAAGCCCTGGATGGCGTAGCTCCGTGGATTGAGTGCGGGCTGCGAAGCAAAGTGTCACAGGTTTGTGGGTTGCGGGCCACGGCCCCCAGCAACCGCACATTGATGTTTCTCTCTCTCTCTCTCTCTCTCCCCCCCCTTCCCTCTCTAAAAATAAATAAATAAAATCTTAAAAAAAAGAATCAGATGTTTTTGGTATTCTCACTTCAACTTGAAGCTATTTTGTTGGCTTCTGGACAGTGCATTAGCATTAGATGTGTCCTGCTCTCTCCTTTAATTGGAAAAAGATTTGGAACTGAAAAAATAAGAGTTACCAGTACTTCTCCAAACCCCAATCTTCTGTCACTCCCCCGTCCTCACTCCGCCTCGTACAGGAATCAAACTACTTAGCTTTACCCGGAACACGGCTCTCTCACACCTCCGTCCCTTCCTATCTGCCGCCGTTCCCTTTGCCGCACCGCCCTCACCCCCGCTTCTCCGTCTAGCGAACTCCTCCTCATTCTCCAACACACCAACACGTTACCGTCTCCGGGAAGGCTTTTTCTGACATGGGCAGAGTAGCGACCCCCGACCCCTGCTCCCATCCCTCTAGCTTCCTCGGCAGTTTCCTCCAAGAAATTCTAACAATGCTTGTGGCATTATTTGTTTACTTTCCTTCCACTCTTCTACACCGTGAATCCCTCAAGGGTCTGGGTTTTTGTTCGTTTTTGTACCTGTTACAATATATCTAGCACAGTGCTTAGCATATATTAGGCACTTAATTCAATTAGTGAACAAATGAGTGTTACCGTAATTCATCTAACACAGCAGAGTTTGTTTGGACCAGATTCTCAAATATTTCAAGACGTGGTCCGCTATTCGCGGTGCTTCGTACTGGAGGGAGATTACTCCTCCTCATCCCCCTCCCCGATTCCCCAATTGCCTTGGTTTGCCTTGGAAGGGTAAGGGAAGTGATTCGGCTGTGCACGAAACTTCCTCCTCCAGCGTTGCTCTAAAATTTAACCGCTCTGGCACCGACCGGGTTATGGCGACTCGGGGGCGGAGCCCTGCGGGTGCCACCTGCTGCGCGGCGGCCTGGCGCACGCGCATTGGTATCTGGACGGTCTACCTGCGGGGGCCTGTCGGAGGAGGAGCGCTTGCGCTCTGGGCCTTTTCCGCCCGGGGAAGTCTCGCAGGGGCGGGGCGGGGAAGTTCTCGCGGGACCCTGACGAGGAGCGGAAGCGAGGCGGCTGTGCTGCTTCAGCGACCGGGCGGCGGCGGCGGCGGCGAAGATTGTGGCGGTGACAGCAGCGGGAACAGGCGCTGCCTTCGGGGAGCAGCGGCGGGGTCGGCGGCCACTCGCACCGCTGTGAGGGGCCGGCCGGGAGTGGAGCGGAGCAGCTGCGCCACGGTGAGTGGGGACGGCGGCGGCTGCGGCGCTGCTCCGGTGCCTCTTCCTTCTCCGCCCGGAGCGGGAGTCGGCCTTCAGGGACCCGGCCCAGCCTCCTGTGGGCCGCCAGGCCTGGGGGCGGGACGGCGGGGCCCGGGGCAGGAGCGGAGTCCCCGGGGCTCCGGGCTCCACGTTTCTTCTTCTGGGGCGCTTTCTTCGTGGGAACCGTGCTCTGCTGGCCCTTGGCTCGGGACAGAGCCCCGGACCCCAGGACAAGAGGCCGGGGGGCTCCTAACTCAATTTCACGCCTTCCTCATGAGGGTTCGCGCAGAAGGAGCCCGGGAGGAGTCCGCGAACGCGGGGCACTCATTCTGTGAGTCAGTCTGACTTGGCCGGGAGGCAGGGGATTCGCCGTGGGCTGCAGACGTGGTGATCGATGCTCCTTCGACCTGCACGGCCACCACGTCACCGTCTCCTGGGGTCTTGGGGCCGAATTTCGGGAGGGGGCCCACCAACCCTAGAAACACCGTGAGTTACGACGGTTGCTGCCAGAGCCAGTCGAGATGCCTTTACTTCTGTCTCCTCCCCGCCCCCCCCGCCCCCCCCGCCCCCCGCCTCCCGCCTCCCGCGTTTTGAACTTCTCTGAAAAATATTTGTCAAGAAACAGCAGCAGCAGCAGCAGCAGTGGCTGGAATGTTCTGAGGACAGATTGCAGTGAGAGAGGAAGGAGAAGCGCTGGTGTTGGGCGTCAGTAACGCTGTCCGTGCGCGCCTGGGAGCCGCGCGAGTTGCGGCTCGGGTGGGGAGGTGTTGCAGGCCGGCTTCGGATGCTGTGCAGTTTGCAGCGTGACTCCGGGGCAGCCTGCAGGGCAGCCGGGGCGCGCTCGTGGTCCGCGGGCGCTGTGGGCTCTCGGGAGGGCGCTGAGAAGACACACGAGAGACATGAGCCTTCGTCCCCTTTGGCTTTCTCGTGCCCCTTGTCACTCTGTACTTCTCCAGCGGTTGCCTTCCCTTTCTGTCTGCTTCTCCCCGTTCCGCTGCGGACACTACACGCCGGCTTGTGTAATGCAAGTCATTTGCCCCCCTCCCCCACTTTTTTTTTCTTCTAATCTACTTCCCCTTCTTCCTTCTCGTCCCCTCTCTGGCATAATTGTTCGAGGTTTCTGCTTCTTGTGCAGTGCGTTTTCTCCCTCCTTTAAAGATTCCTTGGTCTCTCCCGGGAAGGTACCCTCTTTGCTGCCTTAGCCTTTACTTTTTCAGCGTCCACCGTGCTCCTTGGGGCAGCCAGAAGGGTTGCTGGGGGGCCGTGCGGGACTTCAGTCCCCACCCTCACCCCCCCCCCCCCGAACTGGGAGGCTCAGAGGGTTGAATTCACCGTAAGTGATCAGCACTGCCACCAGGTCCCAGGCGTAGCTGCTTGTCTCACTGGTGTTTCACCTGTTTTCTTCATTTTAAGATCATGCTTTTGTGCCTGCTTATGCTCTTCCTCCTATGTCTCTTTTATGTTAGTGAGGAAGATTGGGCCAGTCTGGGGCTGGGGTGGCTTCTTTCTGGCTTTTAGTGGGGTGGTTACGGTAATGAAAAGGAAAGAAAACCAACCATAGACTTGTGTTAAAATTGAATTAACGTAAGATGAAACATTCAAGGGAATAGAGTTTATGTAGATCTTTGACCAATTAAAGCTTGCCCATTGTGGTAGTACTGTTTTTTTTTGTACCAGGCTTTTAAATTTTTAAATTTTTAAATTTATTTTAAAATGGTAGTTGACATACAATGTCACATTAGTTTCACAGGTTCTTCACCAGGCTTTTAACAATCAGGCATCTTTTCTTACGTCTGTTAGAGTCAGCCTTCTTTGTTATTGTTGTTGGGGCTTTTTTGACAGAAAGAGAAAAACTTTATTTGTTCTGCTGCCCCTTCCCTTGTTCAGAATGTTCTGAATTCCAAAATAAACAAAGAATTTAATTCTAATCAGCTGTCTTTGATACTAAAAGCAGGCATCTGAGTGCTTGAGGCCGATCACTTCCTCGGCAAGGGTATTCAGACATGAGGGACTACTAGGTTTTAAGTAGTACCCGTTCGGTGGTGCTTGCGAGAGTTGTCTCAGTAGTTCCTGTTACCATGTTGCTTGTTGTTGCTTGTTGTGCAGCGCAGTTGTGATTGTTGCCTGGAGCTAAAGAGTAGTAGATTTCGGGAAAATGCATTAGTACAGAATAGAGACCCACAGCCCTCTGCGGAGAGAAATTTAAGTTACTTGCTTAATTTGTAACCTTCTTTCACCGCTGAGTGACCATTCAGAGCCTCTAGTTTTCTTTGTCAAAGTGGGCTTTTTCCAGTTATGACAAGCCAATATGCATGATTGTTGTCTTAACGCAAAGATGTTCTAGTGTGTTATCTGGTACATCAAGTTTAAAATCTGGTTAAGGCACCCTTACAATACAGCAGTGATTCTTAAAGTGTAGCAGGCGCAAGAATTACCTGTGATCTTATTTAAAATAGGTTCTGGGCATAAGGCCCAGCAGGCACCCACAGTGAATCAGTCTCTGAATGGGGTGATTTTGGAGCTCCTGGTCCAAGGACCAGCACTCTGGTTACAGATACAGCCATAAAAGAACGAGACTGGAGTGTGTCTTTAAATTACTCAACTTACAGTTACACTTTTCTGTGTTTTCAGAGTAAATATTTAAAAGCCTAATAGAATAAGTGACTGCACAGGTGATTAGTTTTTATGTGTAAATATTTGAGCTTTGTTAGGACTGCGATGTGGAGCGATTTAATTTTTAAAGTTTATACTTAACAGGACTGTGAATGTGCCTCCCAGAGAGTCTGCGTGTAGATGGAAGCTCTAGACTCACTGGGAAAGCTCGCGGACTGATCGTGCAGGAGGCCCTGGTGGTGCTGCCTCCCGCTTTATGCCCCGGCCTCTACTGAGGCCTTTGCGAGTGCTGTCTCTTTTAATAATCAAAACAGCCTTATGAGGTAGATGCTGCTGTTAGTTCCATTTTCCAGATGAGGTCACTAGGGATTAAGATTTTATTTATTTATTTTCAGAGAGAGGGGAAGTAAAGGAGAAAGAAAGAGAAGCATCAGCGTGTGGTTGCCTCTTGTGCGCCCCCTACTGGGGGGTTCTGACTTGCAACCCAGGCATGTGCCCTAGACCCGGAATCCAACCTCTGACCCTTTGGTTGGCAGGCCAGTGCTCAACCCACTGAGTCACACCAGCCAGGGCGGGATTACAGAATACAACGTATTTCTCCAGTGTTACCCACACAGTTAATAAGTGGTGAGGTGGCGGTCGAATCCGGATCTAACTCTAGAGCATCGGTAAGATTTTGGGTTTTGTTTTTTCTAACTATAAGAGTAATAAATGCTTATAGTAAAAACTGAAAATATAATTGAGGTATACAAAGTGGGAAGTAAAATATTCTGTGGTCTCACTCCCAGAGATAACCACTGTGAACTTTTCAAATTTTTTCTTTAGTCACACTGATATATGTTATTTTGCTCTGTAGAAATAGCATAGACTGTCATTTTTCTTCACGTTTTTAAAATTAGTGGTATACCTTGGTACTTACATAGCTACTCCATAGATGTGCTCATGAATATTGATCAGGTATATATGCATTTTGTGCCTGGTATTTGTGTCACATTTTCAGTGTGATAAATCTGGGAAGTAGATAAATTGTCAATAGATACCACAAAATTACTCTAAAAAAAGAGTGAACTGATTAATTCCCTGCTAATGTGTGGGCTCTGATGATTTTATTATTGGGTTAGACAAAAAATTCATGTAGTCTTTTCTGTAAAATAAAACACATTTTTCATTTTCACCAATAACTTTATTGATTTGGATATTTTGAGTATGTCGGCCATCTTCCACTATTGGCTTCTAGTGGGTAGAGGCAGGGGTGCTGCTAACCATCTTGAGACAGCCCTACAGCAAAGAATTTTTTGGCCAAAATGTCAGTAGCACCAAGAAACTTCACAAACCACTTTCGACACACTTGATCAGTCACAGCACCTTCTCCATATATTGTGCCAATCTTTTTGTGTGTGTTTCAGTTGCATTTTTACGTTTCTTGAAATAGTGAAGCATAATACACCAAAAATATTGCATCTTTTCTTCCATTTTCAATATTAAAATAGCTACACAAAAATCACCAATTGTGATAAGTTTTCTTTTTAAATGCATGCCGATAATGACAGTTGTCACAGTACAACCTAACAGTTGTTTGGGATGAAGTTAAGGACAGCTAGGCACACTAGAGCCATTGTATGTAAAAAACAAAGACTTTCGGCGGACCCAGTATTGTCGTCCAGCACCAAGCACGTTGTCAGGTGTACGTTAGCTGCCCAGAGTGCTACATGAATAAACACTGGATAGGATAAAGAGTCTGGGAGCTGTTTTACCCAGGGTATTGCAGACACTGAATATTGTAAATATATTTAAAACTTGCCAGTTAGTGGATGAAAGAAATCCTGTCTTAATTTGCATGTTTTTCATAGCAAAGTTGAACATCTTGTATGGTTTAAATGGAGTCACATTTTACCTTATTTTCACTGAGTTAACATCAGGCTCTGTCCAAAGCACTTCGTGTATATTATCTATATTACCTGATTTAATGTTCAGTGATTCTTATAAATAGGTGGTATCACCCCCATTTGACAAATGAGAAAATCTGGGCTTGTTTCAAAGGCTTGCCCCAGATTGTAGCTGGTCAGCACCAGGGGAATGACTGGAACCTGGATCATCAGCCTGCCTTCTGAGGCCGTGCAGACTTAACACTAAACTGTACTGGCCCAGTAAGTGTCATGTCTCTTACTTCTGTGAATTTCGGGAAGGGAGTTCAATGGAAGGAAGAAAATAAAACCCTACTGATACCTTTAGGAGATTACACTTTAGGAGATAGTGATACACACTGCTTGAAATAAACAATTCAAGCTGCACTTTCCTTTTTAAAATTCACTGCTTGGGACGGGCTGCGGAGGTGTGTCCTGGGAACAGCGGAGACAGACTCTCGCTAGGCTTCAGCGTTGAGTGTGCTCCCAACCCATCGTCTTGGGAAATGAACAGCAACATCTACTCCATTGAAATCATTACACGTCCCTTTCAGGTTTCTCTGAGTGACTAGTGTTGCGTATGTGATAGATTCTTTTCCTGCCCATAGTGACACACACCCCTTTGAACTCCCTTGGCCCGCGCGCTCTCTTCGGTGGATGGCCTAATAAGCTGACGTCGTCCAGTTTTCTCCATGAGATGCTCTTTGGCACAGGCACAAAAGTATTGCTTGTTCTTGGTTTTTATTTCTATCACACTGTATTTCAAAAAGCAATAGTCACTTGAAACGTGATTTTCAAGAAGAAAAACTGTTGAAAAGTGTCTTGGTTTTTGTGCTGTGGCTGTTCAGTTATACTGCAGTTGCCTGAAATCCTGAATAACAGACACAGCCCTGTTACTGCGTAGTACCTTGACGGTGTTCTGGGCTTCTGTCAGATTTCCTTTTTCAAAGCGGAAGTCTTTGGTTGTTTGTTTAGACATGCTGAATTCTTCAGCTGCCCATCGTTAATAGAGTCCCAACAGTCAGACCTGGAGACCCGTTAAAATACATGGTCAGGTCTGCGGAAAATACTGAGATGCCTGTAGCAGAGACTCAGGTGCATTTGTAAGCCATTAAAAACAGGTGCACGCATTGGAAAGTAAGCAGAACAGGAAAAGCATTTATTAATGCTGGGGAAAACTGGAGGATTGTACTGGAAAGGAAGGAAGGTTGGTTGTAATGCATTATTTAAATCACCAATGAACAATATTTGATGTTGTAATGCTTCTAAACCAGAACACATGGTATTACTGGGATGGGGCAAGGGGAAATTGGCAGGGGTGGGAGTTAGGTCCTCATCTTTCAGGTGGAGGATGGGGATGACTGAAATAAAGGACCGGCGGCAGCAGCATATGATTTAGAATGTTGTAAGTGAATAAAAAGAGAAAACTAAAAACAAGATCGAAGGTGACTGCATGTGGGTGTTGGGATAGGGAACTACTCTTTTCATAAACTTTTCAATGCTCTGACTTTTAAAGTTATATACGTGGATTAGTTTGAAGAAATAAGCTACAGAGGGTAGAAGTAAAGGGGTTTTGAGGACACACAAAAATATAAATACTCTGAGACTAATCCTTGTATTTTTTTTATATTTGCCAGAACACTGTCTTTACTCGTCTCTCCTTGGGCCAGTGCCACATAGGGTATCCTAGGGCTGGCCTGGCAGAGTAAACATTGGTTAGGTTTATTAGTTTACCTGCAGCAGAATGTTTGGCTTTTACAGTTTGATTGAAGGACTTTTTATTACCAGGTGATTTCTTTTCTCCTTGGTAATACTCATTTTCCTCTAAACTTTTAAATATGTATTTATTTTTAGAGAGGGGAAGGGAAGGGGAAAGCAAGGAATAGAAACGTCAGTGTGTGGTTGCCTCCTACACGCTCCCCACTGGGGGCCTAACCTGGCCTGCAACCCAGGCATGTGCCCTGACCGGGAATCAAACCAGTGACCCTTGGGCTCGCAGACCCACGCTCAACCCACTGAGCCACCCCAGCCAGGGCATTTTCCTCTAATCTTAATACTCTCGGCTGGTTTATCGCTTAGTCCATTTGCAGTTATGCTTGATTAATGCTGCCCCACTTGTTAACTTTAGAACAAAAGGATAATAATCACTCGTGCCCTTCAAATGAGTTCTCTGCTAGATGGTAATTATCCAAGAAGAGTGTCACTAAAAATAATCTGTCCCCATTCTGCCAGTGTTTGTGTTGTTTGCTGTTTTTATTTAGCCTCTGTGAAAACAGCGACTGGTGAAACAAGAACGGAGCTTTATTTTCCTTTCGTTCCGCGAAGGTCTGGGTTAGGTCTCATACCCAGGGCTGGGGACTCGACCCCAGCAGTGGTCGTCTGTAGTTCTGTAGTTCCCGTTGTTCCCCACCACCTGGCACTCTGCCGGAGGTTGATTGCGGACTCTTCACCTGCAGGATGCCATTGGGATCACTGTAGTTAGTGCCCCTCTGCCTCTGAGCGCAGCAGCTGTCCCCAGCTAACTGGGGGAGACTTACGTTGGACTCTCGGCCACCGTCTCTCCCTGCACTTTCTTTCCCCAGACACAGGGTCTGGCAGCTCCGATTCTGAAAAGGGGGTTCCTCTTTAAGTGGACTAGGATTTTGGCTTTGTTCCTTAGGCTACTTAAAAAACTGTGGAGGCTGCTTTTGGAATACTGAACCTTGGACATCTATTTCAAGGGCTGCTGGGGACCCCAGAGTCTGGGGGATCTGCAGGGGAGAGGAGGCCTTGTGCAAAGACAGCAGCGGGTCTGCCACCAGAAGGCTGAACTAGATGGACCTTCTTCTTGCTGTCCCGTGCTCAAGTGGTCAATTGAATGAAAAAGAAGATCCTGTGTTCACGTTCTCCTGCTTTCCTGGGAGCAGACCAAGGCTTGGTTTCTGGGAATTAGAAGCAGCCCAGGACCAGAGCAGGCGTTGCTTGCTTTTGACTGTGGGTCGGGGACCCAGCGTTTTCGGGAAAGCAGAAAGGTTGGCAGGGGAAAAGGAGAGAGATGGGCCCATCTAACTGAGAAAAGCGGGGGCCGTCCCCGGGGGAGGCCCCCTTTCAGCGGACAGCATTTCGTGCCTGGAGAAGAGAGCGTGAGGGGTGAGGGAGGAAAGGCGGAGACCGAAGGGACTCCAGCCGGTTCCTGCATAGCTCGCACACCCAGCGGGAAGGAAGAGGAAGTGTGCTCTGGCACAGCTCGAGCAGCTGCCACCATTGGCCGGCGGGCCTGTCAGTTGCCTGAGCCTGAGGCAGAAAAGAGGAAGGAGATCGGGGCTCTTGCCTGGAAGGGAGGGAGGAGGGTTGAGCCAGCCGAGCCAGGGGGCGTGGGGGCTGGGACTACTGGCCGATTGGCAGGGCGGGGCTGCCTTCGATCCTGGCCACTTCTCTCAATCATCCCTCTTCTGATTCAAGGTGGCATTGTGTGTCCCGGAGCGCCGGAGCCGGTCCCAGAAGAGAGGCAAGGCTGAGCCCAGAGCGCTGGGTTGCTTCAGCAGGGAAGACTCCCTTCCCCCTGCTTCGGGCTGCTGAGCTCTGAGCAGTGCTCAGAATGGAAGCCATCGCCAAATATGACTTCAAAGCCACTGCAGACGACGAGCTGAGCTTCAAAAGGGGGGACATCCTCAAGGTAAGCGTTGGTGCCAAGTAAATGCTGGGCGGCCTCTCCTTGCACTCACCTACCCTTTGCCCGGATAACACACAAAGAAGCCACGCTCCTTTTCTCGTCGCCCACTTTTCACAGTCGCCGTCGTGTGCAATCTGGACAGTGGAGATGGACGCTGAGTGGAATATTAACGATGACTTAAGAGGATGGTGTGTGATGTATGGTCTTTAATTGCCTTTGTGTGAATGCCGCGAGTGTTTCTTTTTGCTTGTTGGTGTGGGTACTGTTTCAAGTAAAGGCAAAGCAATGTGACTGTAGTAAGGATGCATGTGTAAGAGTAGGCTGCTTTACCTTGGAGAGCTTTATTAAAAAATTAGAGGATGTTTTGAAAGACCTAAACTTGAAGCGTTTATGTAAAAGCACTCAATTAGTCTTATTTTAATAGTCAAAAGTTATTTTTGCATTCTGGAACATGATCCCAGTCGGTTAGAAATTAATTTCTCCTAGTTTAGAGAGGTAGTTAGAAATGCATGCTAAAACTCATTAAAGAAGTCACTGTATTTTTATTCTTTTTGAAAAAACTAATGGAGTTCTAAATGATATGGTTCCATTTGCTGTCGTACAAGTCAGATTTTTATTTTCTTAGAAGAAACCTGAGGAGCAATTACCCCATATTAAACCCTAATTGCACAGAAGAACCCTGCTGACAGTTCAAAAAAAAATAAGCTGCTTTCCAGTTTGCAGCCCATTTGGAGCCCCACTATTTACATGAATATTCACTTTCCACCTAGCACGCGTTAATTATGTTGTTTACCCCATTGACTGGAGCAGTTTGCCCTTTAGGATATGTAATTTATTTTTTACAAGGGTGGGTGTTATTGAATAGTGTCAACTCTAAATGAGGAAAACTTGAACTTTAGTGTTTGCATTTTCACCGTGTCTCAAGTTTTAACATTTCTCCGAGCCTTAGTCAAATTGCTGGAATTTGAATGAAATATTAGAATTTTACAGAGGAAGAAAATGGAAATTTAGAAATAGGGTCCTTTTTATTATTTTTATTTTTTACAAGATTTTACTTATTTATTTTTAGAGAGGGGAAGGGAGGGAGAGAGAGAGGGAGAGAAAAAAACCAATGTGAGGAGCGTCAGTGGGTTGCCTCTTGTGTGTGCCCCGGCTGGGCTGAGCCCACAGTCCGGGCTTGTGCCCTCACGGGGAATCCGCGGGAGACCTTTTGCTTTGCAAGATGACGCCCAGCTGAGCCACATCAGTCAGGGCTGGTCTTTTTATAAAAGGACTAGGTTTGCCCTGGTTGGGTAGCTCAGTTGGTTGGAGCATCATCTGGATATGACGAGGCTGCAGATCCGATCATCAGTCTGGGCACATGTAGGGGTCAACCAGTGAATGCACAAATAAGTGGAATAACAAAATTCAGTGTCTGTCTCTGTCTCTCTCTCTCTCACTTACCCCACCTTCACTCTCTCTTAAAAACAAACAAATACTTTTTAAGTTATGAAGACCTATGGGAAGTTACTGTTTTCCTGCCATTTCCAGAGGCAGAGAGTTCTCTGAAGTTCCTGCACAGTAGTTTAATGCTAGGCGTGTCGATTTTACTTCACAGAAGGCGATGTTGAAGAACGCTTTAAGGAGAAGGAAACTGTGTTCTATTCAGAGCTGTTAATGTGGTGCTAAGCTTTTTGAGGGTATTCTCAAAGTCAGCACTAAATTGCCAGAAAGCACACAGAACCAGCTGTAGGTTTTAGAGTGACACGTCTTCTGGTTCTGTTTTACTAGAGAGCAAATGTAAGGTAGACTGCTAAATTACTCTGTATCATTAGTGCACAGAGGAGGTAGTTTGATGTTTTCATAGGTGATTACTGTTTTCAGCAGATAACCCACTATGATATCATAAGATCGGCTGCTTGAGTACCCACGTTTGTAGCCTGTCCAAAAACCCTTTGGGTCCAGCTTTTTTGTGTTCTGGTGGGGGGTTTTGTTTGTTTGTTTATTTAAGTACAAACTGATTTCTCTATTAAACTTACCCTGAAAACTTGAAGCCTGGTGGTTCCTGTTTTTCTCTAAGTTTATCCTGTTGCATATTTAGCACTAAAGTAACAAGGTAGAACAAAAACGAGGGATTTGAGGACTATTTTTAAACAATTTTTAGACAAGAACTTTCCCTGTTTACTATCACTGAAAGTTGTTCCTACACCGTGAACATTTTATAAGTTCTCCAACCTAAATTGGTAACCTCTTGAACAAGTGTAAAAACTCTTCCCCACCCTATAATTAGAGAAGTTGATACTGTTTAGCATTATTCCCCCAGAAGTTTTCATGATGGGAGAGAAAGAGAATCCCATTTAATTTCAGATTTTCTTTGAAGAGAGAAAAATATGTATGTTTGGTTCTCTCCAATTTGGTAGATAACTGGCACATGAAGTCACAGTGCCATTATTGCCTTTGAATGGTGGCCATTAGCTGCTTGTTAGTAATCTTGTGGCTTTGCTCCAGAAAAAAAAAAAGTGATGATACAGTAGTTGCCCTTTGTCTCACAATTCTGTGAAGCAGCTGAGTAAAGGGGAGGGCCGTGAGGGACATCGCCTTGTGTTAAGTGCTGTTAAAAAGAAAAAGGCAGTGCTTTTCTTCATTTGATTATTCAAGGAGTGACTAAAGAGGAACTGGCTTCATTTGAGTGGCGTTGACTTGATAAGCTTTTTAATTTTTTAAAGTTTATTTATTTTTAGGGGAAGGGAGGGAGAAAGCGAGGGAGAGAAACAGCTACATGTGAGGGAGACACTGATAGGTCGCCTCTCACACTCCCACATGGGGACCTGGCCTGCATCCCAGGCGTGTGCCCTGACTGGGAGTCGAACCGGCAACCTTTCGCTTCGCAGGCCGGCGCTCAGTCCACTGAGCCACACCAGCCAGGGCTGATTTGGTAACTCTTTAGGGCCTTAGCTGTGAGCCAGAACATGTTTGGGACTGGCTGGAATAGCATTGACCAGTTCAAACGTGATTAAAATGGGGATATAGTTGTCCTCTCTTGATAATGGGGGCGCGGACATGTTGGTGTTAATACATTTTATTTGACTGTAATGAAATGAAAGGGGCCTTGCTGTCTGCCCCTTGGACTGGAGTTCGGGAGGGTCACCTCCTCTCCCTGCCGTGGGGCGCCGGTGGGCTAACTTCTGGCTAGTGTGAGTGCTGCCCTCCAGCCCACCACTTCCTGACTTTCCATCGACACCTTCCCTTGTGCTGCCCTGAGAGAAAAAGAAAAATGAAGACATTTTACTGGAAGCCTAAAATAGAATTGAATGCTTCAATGTATCTGCCTTTGTTACTTTCCCTCCTATAAAAGCCTGTGTTTTTATTAGGGAGGGCACTGGGGCATAGAAATGGGAGCGGTTGCTCTTATGTTGCAGGTTTCAGGCCGCATGCGCGCAGCTGCACTGAACCTGTTTCCCCACCATTGCAGGGCAGGCTTGGGATGGTCCCAGGAGTTCTCCACCGACAGGGCCCCAGCACTAGAAAACAGAAACGTCTAAGCTCACCTACAGGTTGCATCTGTCATGGAGGGGCTTAGTTGCACGAACTCCAGACAGTGCCATGTGGGGATTAAGGGCTGTGTGGAGCGCTCCGGCATGTGCTCATTCCATCCTAGAGCCGGCCGCTTGTTCTCCGCGAGGGCAGACCTTTGACTCTGGAGGAGAGCCAGCCGTGGGCCGTGTAGGTATCTTCCACTCGGGCTGGCGCCGGCTGCCTGTGCCCGCTGCACAGTCTGCTTTAGAAGGAGGTCTCGGGTTCACACTCAGATTTTTGAAGTCTTCTGTCTCAGCGCTGCTGACCTTGTTTCGCTGCCACGTTCGCTGAGCATCTCCTTGAGCCAGCTTATCCTGACATAAGTTGCTTTGAGAGTTGGGGGAGAAGAAGATAACACTTTCTCCCTTCAGGTATTCTAAAATCAGAGAAGAGAAGTGAGATTAGTATCTGAAATAGTACATGGTGTATGTAAATTAGGGTTTTTAGAACAGGAAAAGACCTTTCTTAAAAAATTTTTTTAAATTTATTTTTAGAGAGAGAGAAAGGGAGGGAGGAAGAGAGGGAGAGAAACATCAACGTGTAGTTGCCTCTCACACGTCCCCTGCTGGGGACCTGGCCCGCAACCCAGGCATGTGCCCTGACTGGGGATCAAACTGGTGATATTTTGGTTCACAGGCTGGCACCCAGTCCACTGAGCCATACCAGCCAGGGCAGGAAAAGACCTTTTAAAATTTATTAATTTAGACGTTATTTTACAGATGAGGAATTGGTGGCCCATAGAGGTTAAATGATCCGTGCAAGATCACAAACTCAGTACTTAGCAGCGAGCCAGTATTTAATGGGGTGCTGACGTTGTGTTACACCCCGTAACTGCCATGGTGACTAGGAAGGGAAGAGACTGGTAAGAGCTGAAGTCAGAGAAAGCTGTGAGGAAGAAGTGTCACTTGAACTCAGACCTCGCGAGAGAAAAGGTCAGGGCTCCGAGAAGACAAGGGCAGCTGTGCTTGTGTCTGAGAGGGGAATGCCAGCGGGAGGGTATATGATACAGAGACTGGGAGTGGCGTAGTGGAAAAGGAGGAGTTTAGCATTGGAGCCGTGTAAGAAAAACTCAGTAAGAGTTGGATCCCGTCCTTGAGAAGCCTCTGAAGGTTTTTAGCTGATGAGAGCTGTTCCGTGGGTATAATGCGTTGTGGGGAGGTGAGCCTGGAGTCCCGGCCCGGAAGGTTGCAGTGGTCAGGTAGGTTGCAGTGATCAGGTAGGGAGATCGCCGTGGGCCTGTGAGGGTGTCGGAAACTAGGAACGAAGGATGGGGCGGTTTGAGGAAGACCAAACGAAAGCACGGTGGGGCTTCTGCCTGTCAGCGGGGGGCATTTGAGTAAGTCTCCTGCGTGAGTGAGGAAAAAATGCCCATTGAGGATGCTTCTGAGAACTAGGATTTGATTGGCTACAGCTGGATGTTGGTACATGAATCCATTTCAGGTGTTTAA